ACAACCTGGACAGGAGTTCACCTTTACAATCAAGAGAGGGGTGGGAACTGCTGATTGTGTTAGTGTTAACTACGATGATTTTGTCAATGACGTTGAAGTAGGGGACATGCTTCTTGTTGATGGTATGCCAGAGCTTTTCTTTTTCTACTTTAACTTGTTTTACTATTGATAGAATGTAAATAAAGCTATACACATGCAGACCTCACTCTGCTGGCTATTATGTAAAATTTTTCAATCTTTCACCACAAATTTCAATTAGCGAGATAAGTGTGAAAAGTCCAAAGTGGTAAATAGAAATGTTTTATTTTCGTCAATTTTTTGCTCTCCGTAAAGAACATAGTCATTAAGTTGAAGCAAAGAATTATTTACTAAAAAAAGTGATGAATGTAAAGAATAATGAAATCCACAATACCAAAAGAATAATGAAATAGTTTTGGCCTCATACCCGAAAGGAAGAAATGAATGTGAAATAGTGAAGCTTTGTTTTCAATTTACATTGTATTATGCTTCTAGGTATGCAAACTGTTGGTTTTAAGAAAGGTCTTATTGAATGCGAGTGATCTTGCAATTACTGTCCTGAAATCCTTAGGGATGTGCATTATTTGCAGCAGTTACTGCGCTGAACTATGTGCAAAAAGCTTAAACAGAATGATACACATCGTGTGTATTAACTTCTGTCCATAAATCTTGGAGGATTCAATTGCAGCTTGTTAATAATCTTTATTTATAGGGGGCATGATGTCACTGCTGGCAACATCCAAGACAGAAGATTCAGTGAAATGTGAAGTTGTTGATGGTGGAGAGCTTAAATCCAGGCGGCATCTAAACGTTCGGGGAAAAAGTGCTACACTTCCATCAATTACTGGTAAGACCCAGTAATCATTTTCTTGACACTTTTCTGGGGGTCTGTGCTGCCGCATATGCGATGTGCAGGATTATAATCTCTGCTAGAAGAGTTGAAAGTTATTCTTTTGCAAAGAAAGTAATCTGGTCCTGTAATTTGCTGCAGAAAAGGACTGGGATGACATCAAGTTTGGAGTAGACAATAAAGTAGATTTCTATGCTGTCTCCTTTGTCAAGGATGCTGCAGTGGTCCATGAATTGAAGAATTATCTCCAAAGTAACACTACGTATATTATCTTTGAGTAGTGCTAGAAAAATAGATAAAGAATTGGTAAAGATAAGTTGTAATTAATATGTTCCACATTCATTTGTATACTTGATAATCTTCTTTTGGGCTCTCCAGGCTCTGGTGCAGATATTCACGTGATTGTAAAGATTGAAAGTGCTGACTCTATACCAAACTTGCACTCAATTATTACTGCATCTGATGGGGTAATTACCCAAGTCTCTGCTCTGTTTTTTGCCCTTTTTTGATTCAACAAATATGATATTAGCTCTTGAGCAAGCAGAAATTGGTCTTGGGTTTGGGCACTCACATGTAGTAAATAATTATGCCTTGTCATTATGTTTGACTGTAGTCATAGTCGTCTTGTATATCTACTGCTAGATTTTTTTTGCCCTTTTTGGGGGATACAACTGCTAGATTTACAAAAAGAGTCATGTCATGAAGCTATGTCATGTAAATGAAAGGAACCCTACCCTGTTTGCCAAGGATGGGGTTTGTTTTGTTGAATGTGGAGCTTACTATGAGTTTTTCCTAATGTATTATTTAACTCTTGCACCCTGTGCCTTGTCTTGGCATGTAGGTGGCATTGCTTCCCCATTCTCTCTTTCTCCTCTTTTTTTTTTTCCTGTCTCTTCCATTGAAAGCGGACATTGTCTTTATTACCAGACCTGCTTATCTTATCTCAGGCAATGGTTGCAAGAGGAGATCTCGGTGCTGAGTTGCCAATTGAGGAGGTTCCCCTGTTGCAGGTAATTATAAGTTTCCAAGACTACTAGCTTTTAACATATTTGTCGGTAAGCTTCTGAAAGCTTTTCATTACAGGAAGAAATAATCAGGATATGCCGTAGTATGGGGAAAGCTGTTATCGTGGCAACAAATATGCTTGAAAGCATGATTGTTCACCCGACACCTACCCGAGCTGAGGTATCAGATATTGCCATTGCTGTTAGAGAGGGTGCCGATGCAGTTATGCTCTCTGGAGAAACAGCTCATGGAAAGTAAGAAAACTAAATTTGCTTTAACACAAAAATTGAATGTCACACAAGGTAAAATGTAGTCGAGGGTTTACTGCAGAGCAGTGAACCTTTTTAAGTTTGCTGATACAAGTTTTGCATCCAGATCAATTGAGACTAAATATTTTGATTTTACCCTATTAGGCTGTTTATATAGCAATCTTTCATTGCCTGAAACCCTATATGATTTTACTTCCATGAAAGGTTTCCTTTGAAAGCAGTAAAGGTCATGCACACTGTTTCATTGCGCACTGAAGCAACCATGGTTGGTGGAGAAAGACCGCATAATCTGGGTCAAGCTTTCAAGGTTAGTTTGACTTTGTATACATAAGTTAGTCTACTTCCATGCTCATGAGCTTGCCACTCTTGATAAGTTTATCAAGCTTTAATTTGGGCTCAATTTGATTGTTTTTTTCAAACACCCACTCTGAACAGAAACACATGAGTGAAATGTTTGCATTCCATGCAACAATGATGTCCAACACCCTCGGAACCTCAATCGTTGTCTTTACCAGGACTGGTTTCATGGCTATCCTTCTAAGCCATTACCGGCCTTCTGGCACCATATTTGCGTTTACGAATGAGTAAGTCTCATTTTTTCGATATTAAACTTGTAGAATAGAACTTTATGAGCTAAGTGGGTGAGAGAACATGGTTGATGCTCAACTGTCGACATTTGTAGGCAGGCTTCAACTTCTATGTTCTTCCACTTGTATTCATTAACAAATGTGCAAGCTTTATAAATGAGTTAAGCTCATATGGTTCAAAAAGCATTTGTTGAGTTGATTTACCAAATCATGCAATTGGAGTACAGGAAGAGAGTACAACAGAGGTTGGCTTTGTACCAAGGTGTTTGTCCCATTTACATGGAGTTCATGGATGAAGCTGAGACGACCTTCTCTAATGCATTGACTTTGTTGCAGGTGAGACTTATCTTTCATTGGTTTTTGTTAATGTGTAACCTAATTCCCCATGTCTTCCAATATTATGTTTCTACAGACCACTCATCTTGACTTTATCTGAACTTCCATTTGCTTATTGGTTTGAAACAATCAATAGTCCTAAGCCATATAATAACCGTAGAATGTTATTGTGGGTTTCCATATAGTTAAAATGTCCTTCATTTGTGTATGTGTGTGTGTGTGTGTGTGTGTGCTGGGTGCCCGCGTGTGTATGTGCATGCATGGAGATGATCTTGTGTATTTACACCCTATCCACTGTCAATTTGCAGAAACAAGGAATGGTGAAGGCAGGAGAACAAGTAGCTCTTGTACAGAGTGGTACGCAACCAATCTGGCGGTTGCATTCCACTCATAACATTCAGGTCAGGAAAGTTTAGATTGGATAAAGGAGATATCATGGGATGACTCGTACGAGAAGCATGACTTCACTTAGGGAAGATTGCGATGTACCAGTCGTCATCTGCTGGCGCCGTAACTTTGTTCTAAATGTGCATTAGACTCCTTTTTTTGTTACTTATATTTTTCTCTTCTCCTGCCCCTTGTATTCTTCCGGTTCCTTTTACCAGTCCTTGCCGATTCCTCTATAAAGAACCCCCAAATGGTTGCTTGTAATCTGTTGTTAGCAAGTTTCTTCAAGCTTGTAATGGATTTATAGATTTAAGATGGATGCTATGAACTTTTTAATCCATGAAATATTTTTTTTCCGAGTTTACTTAGTTAATTTCTACTAGCGTTTATGGTAGTGAGTGATTGTTTTGAAGCCCCCTCTCCCAACTTAGTCTTTTCTTGGGAGGGAGGGAGGGAGCGAGGGGCTAGCGGGGAGAGAGATGAGACAGTAGGAAGCTCTTTGAAACTGTTGGAAATGATCGAATTATTGGATAAGCAGTGTGCCACACTATAAAACTTTAAATAAAACTTTAAACAGACAGAGAGTTTGACAATCGCTTCTTAAAACTCGGGAGATTTCGTGAATCACAGCATTTAGCATATGTGAAGCCAATGCAATACTACATTAACTTGCATTTCCTATGAAGGATTTTGTTGCGACTAGGATTATCTTACGGACGAACATAAAATGTATCTCAACAGATTAAATCTGTGAAACAGTATTCAAAGTGATGCGATGCTTGAGAGGCTATGTGCTGAAAAATTACTTACCGTGTTCTTCAGCCAACTGGAAGACGTACATGTGAGACTGGAGCAAATGGATTCAGTCCCTAAGATCTTTAATGGATTCGATCACTTCAGGCCGCATAATGGTCTCTTATCCGAGTAGTGATGCTGAGGAGTCAAAAACATTTTCTCTTGCATTTTTAACAGAGCCAATTATCATCCTTACAATCGTAGTGCCCGGCGGTGGAGTTCGAGTTCTCCATTCTACTGAAGCTGGGAACAGCAGCAGTCGGAACTTGGAGCGTCATGGCAGGGTAGTTACTGAAGTCGATCTCCCCCGCTGTCATGGCGACTTGTACGCATTAGCAAGCCAGAATGACAACAAAGGTTGAAGCAAGAAGAAGCTATTGGCGGAGCAGAAAAGCATGGTGAAATAGGGAAAGTAGAAAACCCCTAATCTGAATGTCGAGGTAAGGCTCCCTCAAGATATAATCTGGCTCCCTTAGCACGACGTCTTGGTAAAGCAAAGCCATGGCCAGGATTTTTTCTTGTTTTTCTTCTTTAATATTTATTTGCTCTGCTGCTGCGTGACTCATAAAAAGGAGATTTTTAAGCTTTATAGAATACGAAAGTTAGGCTTAAAAGGAGTAGGTTCTTCACAAGATTAGTAGTACACTAGTTCTAGTAGTATAATTTTGAGAGTTCTTCTGACCCAATCATAGCATGGATTTGGGTCCCCTCCCCTCGGGGGTTGGCAGTGCACTTCCAAAATAGTCAAAAAAAACAAAAAAACTTTTCCAAACTGGAATTCTATAAATTGTTCTAGAGAACGAATAGCTTCGTACCTCGCTTCACTTAGAAGAGAGGAGATGTACAATAAAATATCAAATGTATCCCCTGGAACCAGAACCAGTAGTCATGCGCCCTTTGTGACTCGGGAAGCTATTATCGCATGTCGATTTCGTTACAGTCCTGTCTCTTTTAAGTGTCTCGATCAAAGCCATACACACGAGACTTCTTGTTCGTTCCCCGCCATTCCCAGTAGGAGTGTAGGACGGCTTGGCTTTCAGGATTCTGGGCTCTATGTATATATGCACGGCGCCGCCCTTCTTTTTCCTCTCTCCTCTCTTCTTTTCTGCGTGTGATATGAACACTGGGCAATCAAGAATGGCTGATTTTGGATTCATTGAGAACTCATCTGGGACGATTCCTAAACCGACCATACAAAACATAGTTTCAACAGTCAACTTGAACTGCATGTTGGACCTAAAAGCCATTGCCATGCATGCTCGTAATGCAGAGTACAATCCAAGACGCTTTGCAGCTGTTATCATGAGGATTAGGGAGCCCAAAACCACGGCATTGATTTTTGCCACCGGAAAGATTGTCTGCACCGGGGCCAAGAGTGAAGCACAATCTAAGCTTGCAGCCAGGAGATACACGAAGATCATTGAAAAGTGTGGGGTCAAAGGAGTCCAGTTTAAAGATTTCAAGATCCAGAACATTGTTGGATCTACTGATATGAAATTTCCTATCAGACTTGAACATTTGGCTTGTGCCCATGCGGCCTTTGTAACCTATGATCCAGAAGTGTTTCCTGGCTTGATATACAGGATGAAGCATCCCAATGTGGCGCTTCTCATCTTTGCGTCCGGGAAGATCATCCTCACGGGAGCAAAGGTGAGGGATGACACTTTTAAAGCCTTCGACAACATATACCCTGTGCTCACACAGTTCAAGAGGAAGAGCCAACTATGTTGATTTGACTTAGATTCATTCTTTTAGATGAATTTGTTTGAAAAATGTTTTCCCTTCTGCAATCAAATCCAGCTTCTCAAGTTGTACCTGCAACTGCTCCTGATAAAACATCTACCAATAGCCAGCTACATCAGGAATTTGATGTTGGTTCTAAACAACGGAATTCGATGATTTGTTGTTGCCCAGCCATCAGAATTAGTATAGGTTTTTTTTTTTTTTTCAAATCTTCCTATCCCTCCTGCCAACCCTTCCCATCCCCAAGTGTCAGATCCAGAATTTAAATCCAGAATTAGTATAGAGTTAAATAAGTTTAAATAGCATTGTATATCTAATTCCAAGAATATAATTTCCAGGTTCGTCTACTCATAACTTGGTTGACATGGTTTTCAATTCAACCATATTCAGCTCGTTTAAGGGGAAAATGCCCTTATAATTATGAAAGCTATAGAACATCTTTGTCGAAATGCGCCAGTGCGTACATGCTGCTATCTTCTCCTATTCAATTTTGTATCCTCCCCCTTTTCACTCTAAAGCAGGTCATTCTCTTTACCCGAACATACTATGGCCAAAAAGTTCCATAGCTCAAACATCCAGACAAGGAAACAAGCTATTTTAAAGTCGAGCAAACAGCAGACACACACATGCAGTAAATGCAACTAAGTAAATATAAACAATATTCACAATATTACTGTTTAACAATGAGTATTTACAGGATACACCTAGAAGCTAAAACTGCCACCATGCTTGACAAGTGTACTATAAACTTAACCCTGTAACCCCACTACCGGACGACTGAGCTTAGGTCATAAGGACTTTACCCATGTTACAAACAACCACTCAAAAGATCATCATGTACTACATAATTATGATCTACTTCCACAGTAACAGGTCGACATGCAGAAGAATGACACAAAACATTTCCTCAAGCAAATACTGAACATAACGGAAGCTAAATTTTGCTTTCACTCAGCTGTGAGATATTGGATAAGTTTTTCGCCTCCCCACTTCATCACCATGCACAGTACCGTTGCCAGTTTGTAAGGATGTGCCACCTCTGAGCATGGCCATTAGGCTTCCTCCGTGTACCCTACCCTCCGGAAGAGAAAATTCATCTAAATTATCTTGTGGTGGCATCCAGCAGCATGTGTCTTTATGTCCATGACTACTCATGCCAACTGAAATTGCTCCGCTATTTGTAGTATCTGTGCCACTGGAAACCGCAAATACCCCTTTCATCCTTTCCATTTTGCTGAAAAGCCGGTTTTCAAGTATGGGAACCATCAAAACACCATCACCATGAACAAGTTTTTCTTGCACCTGGGCAGTGTGGGCAGCACAAAGGCCAGATTTTCCCCGAGCAAACTTATCACACGGAACAGTAGCTTGACCACCAAACTCAAATCCCACTTGTTCCCAGGAGCATCGTTTGCCTCCCCCATGTGCCTTGCAGAAGTTGGTGCTTCCTTGGGCACTCTTAGTACATCCTTCATGTTTACACCTTTTTCCACCACCATGACGAACACAGAAGTTTGTGCGTCCCCGTGCACTCTTTGTGCAACCAGCCATGGAACACCTCTTGCCCCCACCATGACTTACACAAAATAATGTACCCCCATGCACACTCTTGGTACACCCTTCAAATGTACACCTCTTACCCCCACCATGTCCCTTACATAAAGGTGTACTCCCTTCTGCACCTTTTGTGCATCCCAAATAGGTACACCTTTTCCCGCCACCATGTGCTTTACAGAACACTGTGCTGCCCTGAGCACCTTTTGCACAGGTAGGATACTGGCAACGACGGCCACCACCGTGGGAGATGCAGAGGCCAGAAATCCCCTCAGCACTCTTGGTACAATTTTCCATTTTGCACCTTTTGCCACCCCCATGACGAATGCATAAACCGGATTTACCTCTTGCAGCACGAGTGCAGCCATCATGATTGCAGCGTCTACCACCACCATGACCAATGCAAAAGTCAGTACGCCCCTCAGCACTCCTAGTACATCCAAGATGTTGGCAGCGCCGACCTCCGCCATGGGCCTTACAGAATACAGTCCTGCCTTCAGCACCCTTCTGGCATCCAGCTCTCTGACACCTCCTGCCACCCCCATGGGCAATACAAAGGCCAGAAGCACCTCTTGCTCCTCTTATGCAACCTTCAAACCTACAAGTTTTCACATTGATGCGTCGCTGTGGCTGAGGAATTGCCCCAGAAGCACAGGAAACTGAGTTTCTAGGAGTTGCCAGTGAGGCAGATGAGATGTTTGTTGTGAGCGGAGTTGGATTATTACAGCCGTTGAGTTGGTCACCCAGAGCAAAGGTCCCCAAACTCTGCACAGGAGGCACAAGTGGCCCGCATTTCCATCGAGATGATGTTGATCCTTCATCCACAAGTTGAACTGTAGCCACCGAAGCTGGAGGTTCTATTTTATTCTTATGAGGACTGGATCCTTGTGTAATGGTAGTAACATCTGATTCAGCAGGTCCAGTTGACAAACTCAACTCCAGATCTACTTCAGGCCTCCTCGCTTCATATGCTTTTGCAGTGATATATGGAAGCTGATTTGCATAATTTGCCCTATGATTTCCGAGCTGAAGATCAATACTTAGACCAAGATGAATAGAAGAATCCTCTTCCATTTCTCTCCCAGGTGACATTGTAGTGCAAGAACTTGACGAGTGGCCCAAACCAAGAAACAAAGAAGATCCATCAACCATTCCCCATTTTCTCTTGCTTCCCCTGGAAAAATAAGAGTTTGCAACACCATAGGAATCCAACCCTATTACAGGTCTTGCAAAGTCACTTGATTGAACATTAACAAATTTGTTCAGATCAGTTGACACTTCGGCTAAATTAGCACTACAATGTACAGGGGCCTTGTCCATGTAGTATGAACACACGGTTAGATAGCCCAAACCAACTTAAATTTACAAAGCAATGGATTTACAGACTTATAAGGGTCTAAAACAAATGGAAAAGAATAGCTGAAAAAAATTGGAAAAGAAAAATGGTCACTTCAAAACTGCCGAAATGACCATAGTCCACCGCTGACAAAACCTGATGTGTCCCGGCGATCCATTGCAAAAATTCAAATAAAACTTGACCTAATCAAAACCTCTGTAAAACTATAGGTTGAGAAACGCTTTTGTTTCTTGATCACAAATCATCCTGTTCCAAAAAGACACACCAATTTACACGGTTAGTGTACCAAAGTAAAGAAAGTACAATAACTTCAGGTCCACCAAAAAAATAAAAAAATAAAAATCATAAACGAACATTTAAGCACTTCCATATTGAAACATCTTACACAAACTCGTTACTTTTAACACTCTGAAAAGTTACATAAAAAAAGACAAATGCATTGGTATAAGGTAAACATACTTCTGATAATCACAATTTTGCAAACATTATTTTAATAATAGTAATCTAGAACTAAGCATGAAGCCAGGGAGACTAAAACAGGGCCTAAATAAGAAAAGATGCCTTCTGCACGCAATATTAGTGTACAAAAACCCACAAATGAGGAATCATGCATAAAATCCGAGCCCATATCAAGAAATGGAGAAGGACAAGCAACACCAGGAAAGGGCGTAAAAGTAAGAAAACTTTCCAATAAAAAAAAAGTTTTAGCAAGAAAACTTATGTTCAGGTGGTAGCGAACAAAAAGCCAAATAATTTTCCACAGATTACCAGGAAAATTCAATTAAGCAAACGCGTACTAGGCATCCGCCAAATAATTAGATGAATCATAAATGATAATAATCAAGACGACGGATACTAAAATAGCTATTATGCGTCAACCAAAACAGCTGTTTTTTTTCCCAATTTATTGCACCCAGTTTCGCGACTGAAAAGCTCTTGCAGAGCACCCAAAGTAATTAAAACCTCCCTCAAGTTGATTTCTGCTAGCAACTGGCAAATTTAAGATTATATTTCAATTAAAAGCATACAGTTTAATGAAAATTCGAAGTTCAGAATTACCTTAAGATTGATTGGGAGTTTGGCGGTGCAGGATTGCATCGAATAAGCCGACACAGCTTTGATGAAATAACTAGGGTTCTGCGGTGCCAGCAAATCCTACGAAGATAAAGACAGAGACGGAGAGAAGGGGGGGAGGAGGGGTTGTGGAGTGTGTGGAGAAAATGAGGGAAGGGGAAATGTGTAAGAAAATTTAATGGATTCCAACATTGGCGCACGTTAAGGTACCGTTTGGATTGGATTGAAGGAAAGGAAGGAAAGGGAAAGGAAACGATACCAACGCAAGATAGGAGTGTTTGGATAGAATATTATTTGGAATAATTACTGTAATATTTTTTTGTTATGTGATGTATGTGAGATAAAAAAAATAGTTGTGAATATAAAAATATGGATTTGGAAATGTATTTATGATATAAGTGAAATATTTTGAGATAATTTAGCAATCCAAACACACTCGTAAACTAAGTGCAGGAAAGCAATTTTCATCCATTTTGTTTGAATTAAGTATGGAATGAAAGAAGGGAAATATTGAATGTTTGTTTGACATGAAGAAGAGAAAGATCTGAGAGTTAATTTTAAATTATTTCAATCAAATTTAGTTGCACTTCCATATGTTTCCGCCCACTTTATGGACTGAAATTATGATTCAATAAAATAACTAGACAATCATTACCTTTTTTAAAACGATATAAAAAAGGATATTTGTCAAAAAAATTGAAAACAAACTTGAATCATATAGAGAGCCAAAAAAGCGTATATAGAGAGTTTCTTATGGAGGGGAAAAAAAAAAAGAAAAGAGCCAATGCCTAAGATTTTTCACGGATCTAACTCAATAAGAATATGTAAATTGTGCTATTATTTAAATGGGGAAAAGGGAAAATAACACAATAAGAATATGTTAAAATTTGGGAAAAAATGTGCTATTATTATGATTACTCCTTCGAGAAATAAAGCTGAAAATAGCTTCTTCTTTTTTTTGGCTTTGCATACGATTCAATTGTGTTGTCCATTTTTTTTTAGCAATTATCAGTTTTTTATTATTTTAATAAAGGAGTGTGGTTGAATTTCCTATTATGCTCTTGGTTGTCAGTGCCAAATGTTGATAAATTTGGTGGATCCGCCAAATACTAAAACTATCCACGTGAACATAGGTGACAGACCATTT